CCTATATCATTTTATCACAACACAAACACCAAAACAATTTTTTACATAAGTCGATTATTTACAGTTTTGCATACCTTCAATTTTTACCTTTTCGCAAAAATGCACAATTACAAATTTGCTAATATTTGTTATTTATTAACTCAATACAGTTTTATCATTTAGATTGTCAGAAAATAATTTTTTTTGTGCACGGATACTGATTTTGGTGTGTTTTAACAATTGAATTGTGTATTTTTAGCGGTTTAATATTAATTTGAGAAACATTTGCGCAATTATCGCAGGGCCTACAAATTTAGTATCACCATCTTTTTATTCTACCGGGCCTGCGCTTTCAGAAAATATATGGTTTGGGGGGTCTTTTACAAACGCTAGCAACGCAGCAGTTGAAAATCCAATCAATAGGAAAAAATTGCAGAAAATTCAAAAATGGCTTGGCCAGCTGATTTGAAAAATGTTCCGGAGGGCTTGGCAGCGAAAGGGTTAATCCAGAAGGGAGACCAGGGCTGGGCCAGGCTGACAACACTGCTTGGGATTTCAGTACAGCAGAGGTAGCTTGCTAGCTCAAGCAGGAGGTTAGGAGCGCCTTGGATTTCTAGCAGATCAACAGATATTTTTAAAAAGACAAAACATCGGGACGTTTGCCTGTACTACAGAGGTGTAATGAGGGGTTTGTTTTTTTTCTTTATTTTATTAAACCCTTATATAGTCTTAAGAGCTGAAGACCACTACATAAATGCCAGAACGGGCCAAAACAAGAATTCAGTCAGGTGCACAGCTTTCTCTATTGAGAAGTCGTGCTTGGCACAGACACAGGATGGTTTCCCTGTGTAATTCTGCTGTGGGCCGGTTTACCTGTGGCCTGCAGTGTCTCAATGGCCACCTTCAGCTTAGGGACTTAATCTCTGTCTCAACTTTCCAGTCCCTTTTTTGACCAATGGTCGAATTTCAGAGCTGCTATCCGTAGAGTCAGATTTTGGGTCTTCTGAGATGCCCTGGAGACTGGGAAGTACAGTATGTGTAGATGCCTGGTGCCTGCTTTTCGGGTCTGACGGGTACTAACCCTTCACCACTCAATTTTAAACCCATAACTTCTTTTTATGTCTTGATCAGGTCTGAACAAATCCCCGTAGCCACGTAGTCAATGCTTCAGAAAAATTACAGCTAGCTTTTCACGTTTTCTCTAGTTATCAAGCTGGTTAAATACAATCCTGCTGGCTCCTGAGTTGGACAGACTGGCTCCTGAATATAATAATTGGTCCATTCCTGGTTTAGATACACTTTATCGTAGTTTAGCAGATGAGTATATATTTTTCTATGTTTTCCTCTAGTAAACCGGAAGCTGCTTTTGTGTATGTACCCCTAGAGTTTGGGTTATGGTTTTTTGTTTTGTTTTTTTTGCTATTCTCTCATTAATTTTTGATTTTGTCCTTTTTATTGATATGTAATTTTATTAAAAAGCTAATCAGAAAAAGTTCAATTAACCACATACGTGTTATATGCATTTATGGACCCTGTTCAATACATCTTTTTTTCCATGCCTGCGCTTGATACCAATGTTGGGAGATTAACATTTTTACTTTCTTGCAAAATACTAACAGGGCTATTCACAAAAGGGTGAAGAGTTTGGAGAAGGCAGAAGTGATCAATCTAGGACAACATCGCTGATTTGGAAAAATTCTCCAATTAGCTCACTGTCCAGTTCGGCTATGTTGTCCTAGATTGTTCACTTCTCCTGCCTTCTCCAAACGCTTCACCCTTTTGTGAATAACCCTTTTAAGTCTCATGAGGTTCTGCCCCTCCCCCTGCCGAGGGTTACCCTTTTTTAATTTTAATTTTTTTCATGTACTTTGTCCATAAAATAGATGGAGTTTAGCTTTCATATAATAGCCTGTGGGGTGGGTCTCTTTCCTGGGTTTTTTTTCTCGCTCTCTTATTTTTCTCTCTCGCGCTCTTTTTTCTCTCTCTCTCTCTTTTTTTCCCCTCTCTCTCTCGCGCTCTTTTTTTCCTCTCTCTCTCTCCCGCGCTCTCTTTTTTTTCCTCTCTCTCTCGCGCTCTTTTTTTTTCCTTTTTCTCTCGCGCTCTCTTTTTCTCTCGCGCTCTCTTTTTTCTCTCGCTCTCTCTTGCGCTCTCTTTTTTTTCCGCTCTCTCTCTCTCGCGCTCTCTTTTTTTCCCTCCCCCCCACTGTGATGCCTGCTTCTTTTACCCCATGAACATGCTAGTTTATGGTGTCTTGTGGTTGAAGTGAATGTGAAATGGTGCTCGGCTATATTGTAGAATCTGTGCCCCCCCTCTCACTCTATTGAGCTGAGTCAGGTTTCTAAGAGAAGATGCTTATGTAGAAGAAAAATGTCACCACTCTCCCATTCACAGGGCTAAAAATAATCCTCCGAGTGGGCCTGTGAAAACAAAAGTCTGTTGACTGTTTATATTTATCTGTTACAGAGGAAGCCTTTTAATGAAATGTGTCATCAAACCTGATGAAGCCTTAATACACCTAGCTGTAAGTTTAGTCTATAGAGCACAATAAAACCCTCCAACTACAGAAGTACTGGTAGGGGACATTTTTGCAGCCTGTTTGCCGAAAAACAACCTTTTTCAGGTTTGATGGAATATAATTTTTACCGGGACCTTTATTCTCTATTTGCCTCTAATAGCCCACGTCTCCTACCCATCACCTCTTCCAGTGCTACATGCTCCGGGAGACTTTTTGATATTTGTCACTTCAGGATTGTTGGATGCCTGTGTTGCCCGACGCACCCTTTGGTTTTTTCCTCCAACCTCTATATCGCTACAGGACCCTGCAGTGACATGAATGGGCTGCCTAAATGCAATGCATGTTAGTGCACGCAAGGATTTGCATAAGTTATTACAGTGTAGCAGTGTTAAACTAGCCTAAAGAGGACCTGTACTCCTATTTTAAACTTGTAAAAGTAGAACAGACCTCGCAAGCTGCCCATGATTTATTTTAATTTTTTTCCCCATCTGGGTCTACCTTCTCTTCTACTAATGTCTTTGTCACATTTCTCCTGCCGCCCAGAGTGGAAGTCACTGTGTATGCTTACACGTCATCCCTTGTTATAGTGGTCAGGCCTGGTGATTGGCTCCTGAGTTCTTGAGCACCGCCTTGCCAGGGTAGTGGAGAGAGGGTCAGGTGAGCCATGCACAACTGCTCCAGATTTTGTCTGCTCCAGTTTTGATAAATTCCCCCCACAGAGCTCTTGTTGGTAAACAGGACAGCAGTGGAGTGTTGGCTCGGCAAGTATTTAGTAGCAGAAGAGGTGTGCACTAAGAAGTACCTGTGACTTGCCTTTTTTATTGTAGTTGTAAATACCAGTTTTTATGTAGTAAGCATGTTTGTTAATATTGATGGCTAATTTCTTTTTTCCTTTTGTTTCTCTTTTTTTTCAGATTGCTGCATCCAACAGATTTTAATTTCACTAAGTTATTCTCAGCCTGGAAAATTCAATATTTTTTGTTTTGTATTCTCCTCCTGCGTTTTTGGTATCTTGTCAAGATGTCACGCAGCCCTGACGTGAAGGAAGATCCCGTGGAGTGCCCTCTTTGTATGGAGCCTTTGGAGATAGATGACATCAACTTTTTCCCTTGCACATGTGGATATCAAATATGCCGCTTTTGTTGGCATCGTATACGCACAGACGAGAACGGGCTCTGTCCCGCATGCAGAAAGGTCAGCATGGGACAAATTCTGCTGTTGGTCTCAAAGCAAAACTAGACAGAGGAAGTTTGGAGGTTGCCCTTGCTAATGTCTTAAGAATAATCTAGTGGCCTGGCTGTCATTCCAATCAGTTAGCTTTTGATGATATCCTGTTCACTTTCCTGGAAAAAGTGTGCACACAAAGAGTTCTGACATACAGGCTCTGCATGTTTTGTTCCTGGTCTGCCTGAAAAAACACTAACAGGCAGCCAGTATTTTAGAAGATCAGCAAGCTCCATATTTTTTACATGGTTCTCTTTACCTAGCCATCTTGCATTCTGTAGAAGTTTGATGGCCCAAAACTTTAGTACCTAGTTAATAACTACTGTTCGTTTGTTTTTTTTAGGTCACTGAGTTGGTCAGTGATTTTGGATGTTTTAAAACTGAACGCTAGCCAAAAGAAAATATCTAAATCGAATTTAAAAAAAGAAGAAATAGAAGGGGGAAAAAAGCCGTGCCTCATACTTGGATTTTGGATGTTTGTAGTGAGTAACTATTCTTTTAAATGCCATTTCCTGTCTCGCTACAGCCATATCCAGAAGACCCCGCTGTCTACAAACCTCTCTCCCAAGAAGAGCTGCAGAGGATAAAGAACGAAAAGAAGCAGAAACAGAACGAGCGCAAACAGAAAATATCAGAAAACCGCAAACATTTGGCCAGTGTGCGTGTGGTTCAAAAAAATCTAGTTTTCGTAGTGGGCCTTTCACAACGCCTCGCAGACCCAGAGGTAAGAGACGGCAAATATGCAGCCTTTTTCATATGATAGGGAAGGCTTAAAATCTTGCGATACACCGAAATTTCGGCCACCAAAACATATCGGACGAAAATGGTACTTTGGGCAAAATGCTGAAAATACTATTTTTTTGGGGGCGAAAATGCAGTGCATCCCTTGTTTCTCTCCTCCTCGCTGGGCGCTGCTCCGTGCCCCCTCTGACACAGAGTAGCATCCAGCGGGGAGGTGAGAAACTGTCAGGAGACCAGGGCGGGAAGGAGAGCGCTGTCACAGGAGGCCGACCAGGGCAGTGCGGGAGGTGACAGGCAGATCAGGATGGAGAGCGGTGTGGGGAAGGGACAGCTATCGGACGTCACAGGAGGCTCAGCCAGTGGTGCAGGGAAGGAGTCAGCTGTCAGCGGTGTCTCAGGAGGCTGAGCCAGTGGTGCAGGGAAGGAGTCAGCTGTCAGCGGTGTCTCAGGAGGCTGAGCCAGTGGTGCAGGGAAGGAGTCAGCTGTCAGCGGTGTCTCAGGAGGCTGAGCCAGTGGTGCAGGGAAGAAGTCGGCTGTCAGCGGTGTCTCAGGAGGCTGAGCTCTCCGTACTGACATTCAGCCTCCTGTGACAGCGAGTCAGGAGGGAGAGCAGTGAGTACTTATCCTTGTTGCACTCCTTACCGAAAGTCCCTTGTGATGGGGAGGGGGCTCGCAGTGACTGCGAATGCCACCGCAAATATCAGAAAATTGTAGAAATGTCACCAGCACACCAGTCTTTTTAGAATAGCAAAAGCTTCATTTATTGAAGTTCCTTTTTGCCTGAAGAAGCGCTTTCGGGGCCACACAGTGTCCCTTCATCAGGCTTTAGCATTGAGGATGGAGAACATGTTACAAGCACTCAACCACCACCTGATTGCTGAGTGTTTGTAAATAATTGAGGACATAGTATGTTTACTGTGTCCCCAATTATAAATGAACAAGAAGTGCTCTACATCACCTCCTGTTCGTTCATGATTGTGGACATGGTAAACATGCTATCTCCACAAGTTATGAATGAACAGGAACACTCAGTATAGCGGCTTCCTGTTCATAACAGGGGCTGTAGAACAAGAGATTGAGGGCTCTGTGTTCTCAATCTCTTTTTCTATTATAAAAGGGAAATATCAGTGGTCTGTTTTATACCTCTGATATCTCCTCAAAGCCCCCAACAGTAAAGTAAAATAAAGCATTATTTTGAGGCAAAGCTGCAAAAAGAGGTTTGTTTTCTTTCACATTGAATGAATCTGTATTTGATCTGCTATATGTCATATTAGTAAACAAAGAAGGATGTTATTCATTTTTGCTTATTTCTTCCCATCACAGGTTTTAAAACGACCAGAATATTTTGGCAAATTTGGTAAAATACACAAAGTGGTCATCAACAACAGCACATCCTATGCTGGCTCACAGGTCAGTTAATTGAAATTTTTCATCTGAAGTGCCTAAAGCATATATCAGGTTTTGCAGATTGGCCTCCACAAAGACTTCATTAACTTTCAGCATCCTGCGTCCTTACTACTCTGCCGCCAGCCTGCTTATTAGATGGTGAAGGAACAGTATCACACTAATGCTCCTCTCCTGTAAGCATGTTCCCAGTGTTTAACAGCCCTGTGAAAATCTGTAGAGCTCTAGATTTAGGAGTGCAAACCTTCCCTCTCCCACTGTGTGTGCTACTAAAGACAACTTCTTAACATAAACGTTATAAATATTAAAACTGAACTTCAGGCAAATTGCTAAATATACAAAGGAAATAAATACAAAAGTTTTTGCCTGCCAAAGGATTTGTTTTTCTAGCCGTCCACGTTCTGAGATTTGTAAAGCTCTGCCACACAGAGCAGCTTTCTCTTGACAGCGGGAAGGCCTGAGTTTTCTCAACTGCAGTTTCACTTAAATGTACAGGTTTTTTTTTTTACTGCCTCATTCACACGTGAAAAAGCCAACACGTTAAGCTCCGTGCTGCGTGCACGGCCATATCGGGCATCTCCCGGGAAGGACAGGTGCTGCTTGTGATTAGTATGCAGCTCCTGTCCTCTATAGGAGTACGCGGCAGTATGCCACAATACGTTCATCCTAAGTGCAGGTCCGTGCAGGTGTCCCGGACAGGATCCATCATGTCAGCGTACGAGTATGGACACCCTCACGGACGTGCAGGGCAGGTGAGCGAAGGGCGACGTACGGCCGCATACTCCCATAGAGAAGGACAGGGTCTGCGTACTAATCGCACGCAGCACCTGGTTTTCCCAGGAGCTGCCCCATGCGTCCGTGCATGGAGCTGTATGTGCCGGCTTTTTCTCGTGTGAATGAGGCCTACAGGTGACTGGACAGTGAAAGAAGTATCAGGCTGATGAGCTGCTCTCTCTTGCTGCACTCTTCTTCTATCAGCATGCTTCTTGCACTGCAGCACTGACAGGCTACATTTAAAAAAATGCATTTACTATTCTATTAATGGAAACAGTTCAATTCATTTGTTTTTTTTTATATCTGCCTGAAGTTCAGCATAATATAAAATATTTAGAGAGGAGTTAATTGGGATTTGTTAGGGGTAACAAGGTTCCATGAAAAACAATTTAAGTAAATGAGTGGCTTTTTTTTATTTTTTGTTTGTGTAAAACTACACTTTTTTTTTTCCTACTTGCAGTAAGTTGCTCAGAGTCGCCACTAGCTACAATGTATTTGTGTTTTTACCACACGAATATACTTGGTATATTTTACCAAGCACTGATTACTGATGCACATGACTTGCGGCCCCTTTTACACATGCACAGATCCCCTCCTGATAAGATCATTAGGGAGTGGATGTGACATCCATGGTCATCCAGTTTTTTCCTCCCTCTTGCGACGGAGGAAAAAAAGTATCTGACCCCGTGTCAGTCTTATGGGGAATCGGATGTAAACGAACATGTCTGTTTACATCAGATTACACCATGATCTGGCGCAATCAGGTCCAGCAAAACGGATCTCTGATCTGTTTGTTATTCCTGACCCGGCTGGGTTAACCCGGGTGTAAACTGATGCCCGTGCATTTACACACAGCTGCCCATAGACCAGGGGTCCTCACACTATGGCCAGCAGGCCAGATACGCCGGCCAGGGTCCTTAACCCCGCCCACTCGGCCGGATGCCCCTTGCCATAGGTGCAGGGCCAGATTAACGTAGGAGCTAAGGGAGCTGCAGCTACAGGCCCCTACCTTAACATAGGCCCAGCCGCCCTAAACAACATATAGCAATCGGCCGGCAGGGACCGGGGAGATATCGTCATTCTGCCAGCCTCGCCTGGGTGTCGGAGAAGAGACGCAGGCTGTTCCGGAAGCTTAACAGCTTCTGTGTTCGGCCTGCGCAGCTGCGTCCTTTCAACTCAGGGCGCACACTGAGGCACGGGACGTACAGAAGCCTGGCAAATCAAACGCCAGGCTTCCTTTATCAGCGTAACGCCAGTGCGGCTGCGCTCCTCCAACTTTGGGGGCACACCAGCACAGGCTCCTGGAGGGCGGCCAATAAGAAGAGAGCTGGGGTGTGACGTGATGTCATCTACCTGCCTTTCCCAAAATTGCACGCTGCGGTCGAGTGGTAAGACAGGGCAGTGTACATGCCCATTCATTTTAATCAATAAATACTTGAGCTGTAGAAAATAACAAATCATGCTAGTACATGTCCCAGGCTAAGAAAAATTAGTTGTATTTAAAAAAAAATTTGTTTATTAAAAAAGTTTTTTTATCTATCTATCTATATCTATCTATATCTATCTATATCTATCTATATCTATCTATATCTATCTATATCTATCTATATCTATCTCTATATCTATATCTATATCTATATCTATATCTATATCTATATAAGTAAGGGCTTATTCAGACCAATTGCGGTGCGTTCCAGAGCGGCAGCTGCTGGAACGCACAGCAATCACTCACTAAACTTCCCCCTTCTTTCTGGGACGGGAGGGGGCATGGCGGTGCATTGAAGTCAATGGCACCGCAGCCACGCCCCCCGTTTTTCAAACTATGATCCGGCCCCCAACAATGTCTGAGGTACTGTGAACTGCCCCACTGTTTAAAAAGTTTGAGGACCCCTGCCATAGACTAACAGCTACGCGTGATGAAAGCAGTGGGCAGCCTCTGGAATGGGAACCAGGGTTCTGTAGGTATACAAGTTAGGTTTTTGTTTTATAATCCTCCGGATTAGTATGTGGTTTCAATGTTTTGTACACCCACGTTCTTTCATTTTGAGATCTTCGCATTGCTGCGCTGAATGTAGATGGATTGCAGTAATCTAAATATGATTTTGCTCACAGGGAAGACATCCCTGATTTTCTTATTTAATATATGTGCCCAGGCTATTTTACCTGACTTTGTTGTGTCTCTTGCAGGGTCCAAGCGCTAGCGCATATGTAACGTACATACGGTCAGAAGATGCACTTCGAGCTATACAGTGTGTAAACAATGTGGTAGTAGATGGAAGAACACTTAAGGTAAGAGGCTTCTTTTTTAACCTTGTTGCTGTCTTAGCATATGTTAGTAATCTTTTTTTATATTCTCTTATGGTGATGCTTTGGTGCGTTTACTTCCTGTCCTTGAGACACAACAGGAATTGAGAGGAAATGCCCCTCTTACACAGTTGTCACCAGATATGTTGTCGTTATGAGATGCTATCTTACACCACCTGTTGCAGTGACGAAACTTTTGAATTTCCCATCACTTTCTGTGACTTTGGTCACCAAGACAAATGGTGAATCTCTCCAGCTGGGTCATTGCTAGGATTGCTAGAATGTGCAGAGAGAATGCGTACCTGCCTTGTATGTTTCACTCCCTCGGAGAGCAACGGCTCGCTCATCCTGCTGAAAAGCCAGCAACACATGCAAGCAGCTAGGTGTGTCATCTGCTTGCTATGTCCTCCATGGCGATCCTGCTAAAACGCCCTGTGCCAAGTGTAAGCCCACCCTAGCAGTAGCAAAGGTTTGCTTTAAGACTTTGTCCTTGCGTCTTGTGCTAATACTCTTTTTACCTTGATATCTGCTATTGTAGACTTATTTTGGCTCCTTTGGAAATACTCGCACAAAAGCTCTGTTCCTCTCAGGGACTAACAAAGAACTTGAACTGAATGTGCAGGTGCTGTTTTGTTTTCATGCATAACATATTTTCCCTTGTTAAGAGGCGTGCTTTTGTGTTGACCTGTGTACTGTGCACTGGAAATTTGCTTTGTTCAGTCACAGCAATATGAACGAATGGCAGAGGCCTTGGGTGGCACCAGTGAATGGCTATGCAACAGGGTATTTGAATCTGATATTTGTGTCCTTGGCACTGGGCAGGATATTAAGCTTTATTTTTGTTCATAGCGGCAGAGCCTATGAGTCACAGATCTGTCTTTTATGCTGGCAAGGCAGTGTGTGGTGGTCTGCTGTAAGAACTGGAATTGAGAGTACTAAAATTTCAGGCACATTTAAATATGTATTTGAACTGTATTCTAATACCTGACCTGCCAAAGCATTTATTCTGTTGTAGGTACCTGTACTGATGCTCACTCTAGGCCCCCATTTGCAACATAGTGTAGCGGGAATGCACGTTGCGGTGACGCACGTTCACAGGAACTTTTGGCGCACAGCCCCATTGATTTCAATGGGTTCCTGAATGCGCTGCAAATGCAGGAACGCAGTGCATGTAGCCGATTCTGCGACCAGCGTTCTGTATTTTTCGCTGCGTGTTTTCCACCTGTGCCCCTACCAGCACCATTTCCTAGTGCAATTGACCTGTAATCCAGCGTTCTATGAATCGAGCAGGGGGGAAATGTCGGTCACCTGGTTCTGCTCCATCCATAGATAACTTTTGCATTCTGTATAAATATTACTAGGAGTTTTGTTAATGGAGGAGAGGGGAAGGAAGGGTAGAGCCAGCCTCATGCTTTTTCATTGTTACACCCCAGGCAGCTACCCCATGTAGCACCGGAAGTTTAATGCTGGGAGGAGGATCATAGTCAACTAGTGACAATCTACCAACAGATACTTATAGATTAATTGTCGGCTTTGTACTTTTTGCATAGCTTATTTCTAGGGCTGGTAATGATTAAAAATGTCCTGTTCGATTAATCGAAATTTTTTTTATCGATTTTAATCGATTTAATTTCGATTAATTATAACGCACATACACATCCAACTACATTGGCCTATACACATACAGCACAGCAATAAAGTAATAAAATGAACTAGGATCACACTAATCCAGCACGTTATTAATCTCACGTGCCCCACTCAATATGGCCGCCGCTTGAGTGGGGCAACTCAGAATAATAACGTGCTGGATTAGTGTGATCCTAGTTAATTTTATTACTTCATTGCTGTGCTGTATGTGTATAGGCCAATGCCAGGGATCCCAACCTGAAATAAGCAATTTCAGGGAGGTGCCCTCTCCCCCGCATCCGCGGAGGGGGGGTTAGGGGGGGCTGGGAGAGAGCACCCCCCTGAAATGATGGCAGATAGCACAGGAAGCAATAGCTTCTTTGAAAGTGACGTCACAGACATCGACATCACCGGAGTCCTCCCCCCCTTCCCTTCGTTAGCTGACAGAGCCACTTGTGGAAGGGGGGAGGAGTCCGGTGACGTCTATGTGACGTCTATGACGTCACCGGATCTCCGACGGAAGACCCGGAAGCCGGCGGAGAGGTGAGTACGGAGCCAAAGAACTTTGATCGATCAAAAAAATTAACGATTAATCGAGGGATTAATCGTTAATTTCCGCAGACATACTTATTTCTCTTTTCCTGCCCATTTTTCTCACGGTGGCCATGTTTTTTTTACTAAGGCAGATTAATCCATCTCCCTTTACTTCCTTGAACTCTGGCACATGTGACTAGGACATGTGACCATGCACATCATCTCAGGGGCAGAAAATGTCTTTCCCTGAGTTTTTCATGAGATTTACCAGCAATGCCCTGCTGATGTAACCTTCCCAGAATGTAATGCTTGGACACAGCTTACATCACTTGTGCCAAAGAGAACCAGGAAGTAGAAAACAAGAAATTGTAAGTAAAATGAAAATGTGTTTAATTTCTGAATGTATGGTGATTTCATATCAGCATGCAGAGCTGTATACTGATGTGACTTTTAGCCAAATGGGGTAAAGTTCCTCTTTACCATGTTGATGATTCTATGAGTTGAATGATTGGGGTTAGCTCGCCCTCGTGTGGTGCCTGAAGACGGGGCTGAAAATCTGTTCCTCTTTCACGTTTTTGTTTTTTTTGCCCTTTCCTGAGCTTCTACCTCTTTCCTGAGACTTATGTGTTTTACTTATATCTGACCTCCTTTTTTTGTTCTAAAGGCATCTTTAGGTACAACAAAATACTGCAGTTACTTCTTAAAAAATATGCAGTGTCCAAAGCCAGACTGTATGTATCTACACGAATTGGGGGACGAGGCGGCCAGTTTCACAAAAGAAGAAATGCAGGTAGGAGAACAGTGTCACCTGCTTATGCCACTCGGCTTTATTCTGTCTTTGGTTTGTGGCTCAGGTCACACAGGTCTTATGTTTAATAAAGTGACTTCAAATATAGATGTCATCAGACAGAGTCTACTCTGAGCCTGATGAAGGGGACCCTGTGCGGCCCAAAAAGCGCTTGTATTTCTGAGTGACCTCTATCAATGACTGGATTTGCACTGACTTGATGCTTTGTCTTGCTGATGACATCTATATCTTAAGTTTAGAGCTGCAGCTAACGATTATTTTCAAAATCGATTAGTTAGCCGATTATTAAGTTTGATCGGTTAATCGGATAAAAAATATTGTTCTGTGTGTGGCCCCATCAGACCTATGGACATGTTTAATAAAGTGGACCCAATCTGGGAATTAAAAGTACAATTATTGAAAGCTCAACCCCAATAGTTCACATGCAACTGTCGGCAGCCAGTGATTCTACCTTTTGGCAGGGACCATCTGACAGGAAGACAAAGGGGGCCGAGTTTACCATTCACTTACAAGCTAATTTTTTTTTAGTTCTATTCACATGTAATTATGTTTTGGAGGGTTACTATATAAATGTATTTATTTTACAGTTTAGGTCTTTTTAATCAAGGTTCTTTTTTAAAACTGCTTTATCTGTGCTCGGCAACTCAGTGTTCAGAGTAAAGTAACCCTATGGTCATTGTGTTGTGAGCAAAAGACTCCTGGGATATTATAGATGATGCCTTCATCAGGGCAGTCAGCACATCGGCCTACCTTAGGACCTGTGTCAATAGGCTTTGGGCTTGTGTCAATGGTATCAGTTTGACATGAGTTTCAGACCTTTCTAGGATCATTTAAAATTAACACACGCATTTAACCTCCTTTGATGAGTGGGTTTTGCTTCCCCCTAGAGCTGTATGAATGCAAGGCCCATTTTAAGTGAACTAAAGCCCATCAATACTTTTAGCTATGTGTTAGTAACCCTAAATGCAGGAGTTAAATCTCAAAATTGCATTCAACTACCTTAACTATTAACAAAAATCTTATTTGTGTATCACTCGGCTGTAGAACCTCAAATCATCTCTGCATTGGTGCTGACACTGTCCTTCTGGAGGGTGACTACTTTTGTTCCCGATGGTCCCTGTGTGTGTTGTAATGTAGTCACCGCTCCAAACTCGCTTCCGTGATGGACTACAATCTTAGGCATGTGACTAAGAAGCTGTCATACGTCGGCTCTATTGATCGTGAAGTGAGCGAACACATACTGTCTCTCGCTCACTTTCTGATCATCTCCCTGCAGAGGGCAGTGACTGTTAGTCACTGCTCCACGCAGGGATTCCCCTCTCTATTACTCGAGCGCTGAGTGGAGGAACGGACGGGGGAGGGGGCGGGCATAGCTGTCTCTGTCTCTAGATAGGCAGAGCCAGCTGTCACTCACGCAGCTGGGTGGATCCAGACAATATTGTCGGGATCCGTCCTGGCTGCGGCACTCTAAGGAAATTGCGGCCAATAGCCCGCTGTATAGTGAGCTTTGGGTCAAGGCAGGAGGTTAGTATATGTCCTCCCTTGACCCTAAAGAGAACAATGGAGAAAAACACTTACCATAGTGTTACCACTTATCACTCATAGTTCTCTGTTAAGGTAATTGAATGCATTTTTAAGATTTAACTCCAGAGCTTAGTGTCCGTTTTTAAAGAAAATGTCATCTTTTAGCCTTAGAGGAATGCATGCCCCCTCCCTGCTTGGAACCAGTCAGTGATGAGCTGGTTTAATCATGCATGATCATCCTGACCGCCTTTTGCCTTCCTTCAGTGGGACATAATGTCATTTCTTGCTGGTGAAAGTTGAGGCGTATATGCAGAGCTTGGCCAATGAAAATCTAAGGGTCTATATGACCGATAGGGAAAGCGGAAACCTTTTTTAGTACACAGTTGGGAACTCATTATAATGCAATACCTTTATAACTCACCCCTGTCATAAAGTGAACATTGGTGGGCAGGACAGAAACCTATTTGACCTTACCAACAAACTGCTGCGTGTTTACGCTCACATTTGCATTTAGAGACGAACCTGCTTCTACTGTGGAGTTTCAGATTTTTTTGGAGTTGTCACAATAATGCCTGAGGTCTTCTATTATGCATTCAAACTGTGATTGAAAGAGGTCATTAAATTCAAAGTGTAATGAGAAATGCTTGCAGCTATGTAATAGCTCAAATTGCTTTGGCAAATTACCTGTAATATGGTAATTGTCACCTTGCTAATCATAATGCTCGCTTTTATCATGCAAATGACACATGTTGAATGTCAAGTAACCAAAGATTTCCAATTACTGGTGCTCCCAAACTTTTTCATTTAAGGGTCTGCTCATCAATTTTGGTAAGTGTCCTATGAAGTTTTTTAGCTTTCTAAAACACATTGAGGGGGATTTATCAAAACTGGAGCAGCTGTTCATGGCAGCCAATCAGGTTCTCTTCCATTTTTAAACATTTACTGAGCAAACTGAAAAGAGAAGCTGATTGCCATGGGTGGCTGCTCCACTTTTCATACATTCCCACCATTAAATATTTGTATATGGTCTGTTTTTTTTTTTTCTTCTTTATTTAGCAGCATCTTGAAACTGTTGCAGGGAATTCAATGACAGCCGATCTAGTGACACATTGGAATCTTTGTTAATGTCTCCTTGGTGTTTGGCTATCTCCACAATATATGCAGATTGGTGCTCCTTGATGTTTAAGTTTGTCTCCTGCAGAATCATCTGGTCCCCTGAACACTGACCCTGATGTCCTGTTTTAGGGGGGCTCCCTTCCTGTGCAGGGTCCTATGGAGCCACCCTTGTGTGTGCTAGTAAGCTGTCTGTGTCTCCACAGGCACAGCAAGGCACTTCCCTTCCCCTACTCACATCTATACTCCCTTTTCTGAGCTGTTTGGAAACATGATGATTGTAAGTGGTTAGGGAAAAATACTTTGCAGGGCAAACTGTTTGTTTTCTCTGGGTTTCATTATTGAAAACATTGAATTTGGTACTATAAAGTACAAGTTTACGCAAGAATAAAAACATACTCATCCCCCCGCCCCCCCAAACAAAAAAATCAGATTTGAGTGCATGTAGCATTCACTGTAATATTTGTTGTTGCAGGCGGGTAAACATCAAGAATATGAGCAGAAGTTGCTTCAGGAACTCTACAAACTTAACCCCAACTTCTTACAGTTGTCTACGGGTACAGTTGACAAGAACAAAAACAAAGTGACACCCCTGCAGAGGTACGATGTGTAAGTACTGTCACCCCGCGGCCCTGTCCCTGACTGCATGTCTGTGTGCATGTGATGTCCTCCAGAACCTACAGGGTGGATCTTATTAACGCCTTTTCATTTCTGTGGACTGCTCTGGTATGTTTGTGTTTTAGTGAGGGCTTAATAGTTACTGTGGTTCCGAGGTGCGTTTGTGTCATTCGTGCCGGTGTTTTAGATGTAGAGATACTTTCACATAATGAATGTAATGGTCTCAGCGTAAAGGTTAATTGTAGTTTTAAAGCTCACTGAACTCTTTTTAAAACATTTAATCTATTGCAGCTTACTAGCCTTTAGAT